TCTACATGCAAAAAAAAGCCAAAAACAGCATTAATAGATGCACATCCACACCCAACAACGGTAAAGCCAAAAAGCGGGCAGGCAAAGCACATACGAGTTAAATACTACTAAATGAAAGCAAACAAGCAAGAGCAAAGAATGCCCAATAAAGTAAAGGATACTGCCTTGATACTTAGACCGAGGGTAGTAAATATCTTCACATTTAGGACAGTAGATTTTTACGGTGCTTGATCGAGCAAGATCTGATTGTCCAACTGGAAGGCAAGGTTGTCCACAGCAATAAACCCTTGGACATCTCCCAAAGTCATAATTTTTGTATTTCTCAAGCTGTATGCCCACAGAACACCCTGTTAGTATTATAGCATCCTAGGTATGACATGATGTAACTGGGAAACAATTCTCACCATTGCAGTAATCCCTTTGCTTGTCAATATGTATCGTGCATGGATTAAACCATATAGCATTTCTGCCGCAGATTCAACCAATTCATTCTGTTCTTCAGTAAACATATCACCTGTATAACAAAAACATACATTCCTTGTAAGAACAAACATTAAACTCGGACAGCATCATTACTATATCTGCAACCTGTACACAACCCACAAAAATTATGGCAGTAATTCAGTAAATTTATATTCACCACCAACAGATCCCAGTTACAAGTTGTTCAACGACAGAAATAAGTGTTTGCTGATATCTAGTATGTAGTTATGTACTCCCTCTGTCCCTACTTGTTTGTCCCATTTTCTTATATAGTAACAAGTGCCTACCATTTACCCAATTGGCATACTCAAAAAAGTGTAAAAGACAAAGATACCCATCAACTTGCAAAATTTTGGTTCAAGCCCTTATATAGTAACAAGTGCCTACCATTTACCCAATTGGCACTCTCAAAAAAAGTGTAAAGACAAAGATACCCATCTACTTGCAAAATTTTGGTTCAAGCCCTAATAAAGCACATTTTGCCAATGGAGCAAACAAATAGAGACGGAGAGAGTAAAGTGTAAGATTCCCTTACAACACCATTCACAATGAATGCTTGCACCCATAGAACTTGTCAATAAAAAAAAGATACAAGTGCTTGCTCGTTCCTTCGAATATGTACAGAGTAATGTACCAGTACAGTACCAAATACCATGAATACTTGCACATAAAAAGCTTGTTCATTAGTCAAGAGAGAAAAACTCAATTAAGCAAGAAAAAACATTCTTCACTTGACCCAAAAGATATCAGGAAATGGGGCAAACAAAGGGAAGAGGCTTCTTACGCTGAACTATATGGATCACCAAACATTCACTCAAATTAATAAAGAGCACTAGTATAATTCACAGATCTGAAGTTAAATATACAAGCAATACTAATTTATTGCTGGCTACGCATGTAGACTCAGCATAAGCCCTATAGTCCTTAAAATAACTCGGTGGTCAGTATTACTAAGAAAAATATTTATTATCTCTAAACAAGTAACTAATGCACAGTGTAAAACTTAGAGCTCACCATGTGAAGATTCCACATCAAGTATCAGATCTAGAGCATAGTCATAGTATGGAACTTGACTGCTTAACCCACACAAGTTAAAATCATCTTGGATGTAATCATCATCAACTTCACAAAAAAACTCATTTCCTCGCAAGTTGCAAAACCATGAGATCCAAGAAGTGTCATCGCCATCAGACCCACTAACATCAGACTCTTCACTATCTGTTTCAGATTCGTCTGCAAGTCAAGAGGTAAAAACATCAAGAGGGCAAACCCAAAAAAAAGGGGAAAGTCAGAAAACAAAGACAAGGTAAAAAACAGCCAAAAAAAAATGTTAATTGTGCATTTAGCGTTTCTACCATAGTCAAATTAACACTTCATATTTGTGTCAGTGGAGGAAATGTTGAAAATGGAGAAAAAATAGAGTTTGGGAAGCCTGATTCAAAATCAAACTAACACAAATATAAAGACCTTCCAATATTGTTAAAATTCTTCCCTCTGTAAGGAAATAGTAGTCACGTAGTTTCTACCCTTCAAAAGTAGTATGACATTCTTTTACAGTCTCTTATGTAATAGTTGAATTTATACTATCATCACCCCACAAAAAATTAAGCAAACCTTTACTATATTAAAAAAGATGAAAGATTGTTTCTGAACATCTTAACCACTATTTTCCTACAATATTATGTGAATATTAATTTTTGAAATAAGGGAACCACTAACACCACTTTATCATTATGAGCAATTAGTTTTGCAACTACAAATGACAAAACAATCCACCTGTAAAATACTTGCACATAAACTGAAGCTGAACAAATCAGCTAACCAGACCCACATCATCGATAAATATTACAGTGTTTGTCAGAAAAGTTTTATTAGATACAAGATAACTCAAATTACTGCATTGAAGTGCACATTCCTTCCACCTCAAACATTAGTCCAAACTCTCATGTATCCAAATTCCATGGCCAATCAAAGGCCCTACCTAATACTCTGATCAGCCTGATAAAATATTAAGCTAATTCAATGTTAGATCAAGAACATATAAATAGAGCCCGTCTTAACCCCAAATCCACACCTCTACAAGTCCATATAATGGAGGGGAAACAGTCTAATAAAGCTCAGATAGTGATTAAACCCCAACATAGGTTTATCTGGAATATGTACCTACAAATCAGTCATTCATTCCAATACACACATGTTATTACACTAAATAGTCTAGGAAAGCTATACAAGACCATATCTCTCAAGTCCCTACTTTGGAGGTGAAATAGTCTAGGAAAAAAGTCAGAAGACTAAAATCAATATTAAAGACAGCCCAAAATTTTATGAATACAACATGGAGAATTTCTTGTTCAAAGACGAGTTATCAGTCCTCATCCTCTTCCTCACGAAACACTATTTTCTTTGCCTCATGCAGCTTCTTAGTGCTTATTCCTCCCTTCCCATGCCTCCCACAACAACCTTTCCTTTTCCTGCAGCTCGAAAACTCGCGAAGAAGCCAGGAATGCTGTTTTATACTTATCATCCAAAATATTTCCAAGGACCCTAATAGTTTTTGTGTCCATTAACACCTGCTTGTACCAAATTTGAAGCACCCTCTATTTAATACCTCATATAACTCATTTTATTCAAACCCCTTTGACAAGGCACACAATAGTCAACTTTATCCCTTCCATTAAATATCTGCAATCCGATTAAAAAAAAAAAACTTTCCCCCATTTCATGTAAAATAAATAAATTCATGAGCTTATACATGATGCAGGACAATCTAATATAGAAACATGTCACTCAAAATAATCTTAATGAATCCTTTCCAAACAAAAAAGTGACCCAACCCGAAATACTCGACCGCAAATCAGATCAAAGTAGATTCATTCAACTCAAAATACACCACCATATACCAAAAACACTAAACACCATTAATCAAAATTCTCATAACACATCAAAATGCAGCATTTTTTTTCTATAAAAACACAGTAAAACAACAAAATCAGCTGAAAACAATCACAAATCACAACATTCCAAAAATAGAAAATTTAAAAATCCAAGAGAGAGAAAGCTGAACATACCATCGGAGCAACGATTCTTAGAGAGAGGAACAGCGCGAGAATCTCTCTGATCAGACGGCTGTTTACCACCACCACCAGTAGTACTGATAATCGACTGTGCCGACAATCTATCCTTATCTTTACCATTCAATCCTTTCGAAGTTGAAGGCGACGATCTCTCCAAGTGTTTATCCAACGCATCATTGATCCTTTTCCGATCCACCGCACCCATCTCCGCCTTCGATCCTCGATCCTTATACATCTCTTTCTCTCTCCTCCCAAAACTTCTTCACACAAACTTCAATCAATCAAACAAACAATCAATCAATCACTCACTCAATCAATCAATCACAGTTTATTTGAAGAATCGGGTATCTACAAGGAGCAGTTCTTCAAGCTTAACCCTAAATACACATTAATTTTTTTTTTAAAAAAGCTAGTGATACACACAGAAAATGGTGGAATGAAGATAGAAATTGGAACCCTAGAATTGAGAAATTGGGGATTTGAAAATAGGGTTGTTGGTAAAATGCGAAACCAAACGAATCGAAAGAGAGTGAATCGGCGAGAGGAAGAGGAGAGAGAAAGGGGGGAGAAATTAGGGTTTAGGAGAGAGAAAGGAGAATGGGGAGCTTAGCCATCTCTCTCTCCTCTGTTTCGCTTCTCTCGTGTTCTATTTTTTTTTTTTTTTTTTTTTTTTTTTTTTGGGAAAAAGGTGGGGAGAAGATATTTTATTTTCGTTCTTCTACTTTGATTTGCCTGTTTCGTTTGGGCGTTTGTTAGATGGTTTGTTTTTGGTTGGATTCAAATATGAAAGGGGATGCTAGAAACTCCTCATAGTGGCCTGAAATCGTGGTTCTAACCGTTTGTTTTGGCCATTGTCCAATGAGCAGATATTTGAAAAGCATGGACCCACGGGCCACAATCTTATTTTATAGGTCGGAAATATTGTTAATGTTTGTTTGGCTAACATAAAATTTACGGTAGATATATAGAATGGTGCAATAACGTTGGTGCTTGTTTGGCTAACATAAAATTTACGGTAGGTATATAGAAAGGTGAAATAGAAATACCGAGTATTGAGAAAAGAAAAATCAAGAGAGTTATTTTGCCGATATGGATATGGCAAGTTTAACACAATATGTATGTAACTAACCAAGTAGTGTTGACTTAGTTTTAGGGAAAAATCTTCAAATTAGGAATAGTTTAATAGGAGTACTACATAGTAAGATTACCTTACCTTTTTTTCTCCTACTTTTAAAGCGTCTAGCTTGCTTTCTCAATCCAAGTAAACCATTAATAGGATTCGAATCGACTAGACAATCCTACTGTTCACTAGGAAAAAATAACCGCATAAAATGTAAATTGCCATAATTTAATGATGATGATTAACGAATCTAATTTGAGTTCATTAAACAAACAAGGCAAATTCAGACAACATACAATCTGAAATTGACAAAAAGTAACTTGTTTACTATATCCCAAGAAATATGTAAATAAAAAATTAAGTACCGAGTAATATACAGCTGAAGTGATTAATTTTTATTTACTAGATGTGCTAAGGTAGTTTGTCATAATGTTATCCAGATAGTGACAATAAGAGAGTTTCCAAGCTCAACGAAAGGCAAAACAATTGGCCAGAAGACAAACTATACGACTAGTATTTGAACTAACCAAGTTAGGGGGGACAAAACTGTAAACATAAAACTACAAAGCTTAAACACTTTCCTACAATGTACAAACAGTCCCATGCGCTGAGTTGTCGACAGACCAGGCATCTCTGCGCCTTGGGCGGCCTAGGCAAGCTTGAGAAGTGCTCTCATAGTAATATAACATTCAATACAGGCCAACTTCGACAACAGTAGGAATTACTCTGATCAATCTTCTTCAAAGTACTTCTCCTCAGCATCGTAATTGGCTTCTTTTGACCAGTGATCATCCAAGGTCTCATCTTCATCTATCTTGGAATAATTAACATGTTCATGATCTTGACCAGATAGGAATTTCTGCTGCATAATGTAAGTAAATTGATCCAACTGCTCCTGCATTTCTGCAGGAGATAACACTGGTCTCTCAATATTCATGGAACTGGCGGTAGCAGTGCCATCTGTTATTCCATTTTGATCATGCACAGGCTGCACCTGCATAAGTTTTAAGGGAAAAACAACAATTAAGTGTCAGGAAAAGGGCATGATTTGTTCTAAGCATGTCAATATTTAAAGCTCCTTGAAGCCCACAAGATATATAATGACTTTGACGCCACACATAAATAAAAAGTAAGCATCTATCATGCCAGAGATACAATCTTCTCTGGGCAATAACTGTGTAGAAGTCAAGGAGGACATAGAAATATGACCACCATTTCAGTGAATACTTCCTCAAATTAAACAATTTAATTTCAAACAATTTTAGGGTCCAATAGAAGCACAGAGCAGGAGAGAGGATCAAGAAATGGCATTTTCAGGAGTACTATCAGCAAAATATTAACAGCTTTCTCTTCTACCCTCCCAGCAATCTTGACTCTGGTAATAACATACCACCATGCCGTACTGACAGTACCATCACTGAACTAATACTGGATCATCATTAATTAAGTAGCTACCTAGGAGCCATCATGAAAATAACCGCTTCTTCTCCAAGACAATAATCTGTCCTGGTTGACTAGTTAGTTCCCTGCTACCTATTACTGTTCCATCACCTCCACCTAAGATCTATACTGTATATGCATGTGGGATTTTTTTTTTTCAAGAATCAAATTCTTCATGTCCACAGTTTGTTTTTATAATATGAATTATTAACATCCATTTTTTTGGTCCCAAGTGCCTTTGTCAGCTTTATCCCTCCAAGCTATTTAAAATGTATAATGTGAGCGAGAATCATTGAAAGTACTATGTTAGCAAGTCATTGAACTCAACAGTAACTAATTGTGCAACAAGTTTCGCTGCACTAGGCCTGTAGGTATTCAACTTGGCATATGTAAATGTCGATACTGATCATTTATTACTTTCCAACAAGGTGTTTTTACAAGGGAACCCCAATATACACACACAACAACATCAAAAGGAAACCCCAAAATACACATACAGCATCATCAAAATGATGTATCCCATGCTCTCATTCTTAAAGAAAACTCATAAATAATGTTCATATTGTAGCTTTTGTAACAATATTGGTGTTCCCTGACCACACGTACCTATCAACCTAGACGTATGGACAACCATGGCTTGCTACTAGCCTATTATCTCCTGCCTTGACGATCTTTATATCTAGTGTTACCTACAACTTGGTATACTCAGATACATGAAAAGACTAAGGAATGTAATTTGCTATAACCTATGCTTCAACATACAAGGCACCCATGCTTTTCAATATTTAGCTTAGATGCAAAATTACAAAAAAGCCAATTGTAATATTGCACCATACAAAATTCCATATTAAGATAAACATCAATACTGCGGATATTTAACGATTTCTACTTGCAATAAAAATTCAAAGAAAATATACTTCAATCAAGCAAAGACAGAAATAAAGTTAATTTCAAGCCTATGTTACTCTATCTTTACAGATCCAAATTTAGTACAAATTGAATTTTTCCAAATATTAGTAAAAATTGAATTTTTTAGCAAAGATGCATTTAACTATCAATAGAGGCAAGATGGAAATAATTAGAAACAATAATTTTGATTGTGCTAAAGATAAGAGGACAGGCAAGTAGCTGTTGAAAGTTTGGAATTACAGAAAGTCAAATGTTTAATCAAAGAAGACATGTCTCCAGAATACCAGAGAACATAAATACTTTACTTCTGAGGTTATTCTACTGAATGCTGATGTTTTTAATGAACCTATGCCGTTTCTTTTGCTATTTCAGACCAGAGGCAATAAAGTTGAACTTAAAATTTGCTAATACAAAGGTAATACAAGTGTTGTAGGCAAAAACCTTTAATTAATCTGTAAAGTTCTAAAGTACAGGAATATATATAGTCTTACAGCCTTACTAATACAAGAGATTATTATATAAAGATAATAGAAGTGTTCAAGAAGATCATCACATAGCTCAAACACAAGTAGCCTAACTATTACAAGAGATTAACTACATGCCAAATACCCAAATAATCATATATGACACCTTAACCTGACTACTCAAGACCAAAGTCTAAACCTAATTCCCAATAAAGTCTAAACCTAATTCTCAATTAAGTGCTTAGGTCTGGTCATATAGAAGTCATGAGTTCAACCCATGCAATGTGTGTACTGATTTATAAGAAGCTTACATGTATGGATGTAGAAGCAGATTTTAACAAGAACAGAGACAAAGACCAGTAGTAAATTATAATCATTTTACAATTTTTCATTGTTGATTTTTTGTTACCGTCAGTTGACTCTAAGAATTTTATTCTTATAGTTCCTGTTTCTATTACTTTTAAATCCACCTTTCCTTTAATTATTTCGTAAGAGCTACTGTTAACTCTTACGAGTCTTATCCTTATAGTTCCTGTTTCTATTACCCTCCACCTTTTCTTCCATTATCTCATAAGAGCTACTGTTAACTTAAACTGAAATTCATCTAAGGTTTGGAAACAACAGAATAACCAGTTCAAGTAGTGAATTACCTCTAAAGGAGTAGGTGCACCATTCACATGAACATTAATTTTCTTATCCTCCTCCTCCTCTTCTTCTTCTTCCTCCTCCTCTTCATCTTCCTCCTCTTCCTCTTCCTCCTCCTCCTCCTCCTCCTCTTCTTCCTCCTCCATTCTGTTTGCTCCTTCATTACCAACCCATTCACTCTCATGAACACCTAACCTCTGCTGCTCACCTCTGATCTTTGTTAGCAAAATAGCTTCCTCTGCTCGTCTCATTAAAGTTTCTGACCACCGTTCCCCAGGCCTGGGCATGCTTCTCCCATAAGGATCTTGAAACTTACCCACATACTCATGGTGCAAATATGGTTCCCTCTCTCTCATGGCATCCTCGGAAAAGTAATTACCTTCACTCATGAGCTTATCCATGTATGCACTCCTTCTGTTCTTTTTAGTTAATAACTGAACACGTCGTTGCTCTGAAGTTGGGCTGATCTTGCTTCTTAGATGCTTTAAGTGCCAATTAATTTCATAGTTATCTTTTAGGACATCAAATTCTTGAAGTTCTTCAAATGTCAATTGTGGCCCATACCGTTCTACAAAAAAAATGAGAAAAAGGCTGCATTACAACCCAGCAATTCTTTTACAGAAAAGTAGGATTATAAGCTAGTTGCAACTTGCAAGACATATTATCACTACATAAAGTCCAACCAGCAAGAATATCCACACCAAATATCCTCCTTTCAAAAAACACTGGTTCTAAGTTCACAAAATCATACTGTAATCAGCTTGGCAACTTGACAACAATATGGTAAACAAAAAGTTTGTAACAATAGCTCAACTCAAACCATTTTTATCTAGCTCGATTACACCATCCCCAACCCAACCGCCTCCCCAACAAACAACTCGAAACGTACAAATTGGTACAGCGGATCACATTTAGATTAGTTTAACAAATCTAGGTAATGAATTGCGTTCATCAGTTCATGGACTCATCCCATGTCAACTACCAGAGTACCAGCCATACCAAAAAGCTAGCTAGTAGTACGTAAACTAATGCACCAATATAGTTATAAATCCTCTCAAAGTAGAAATTTTTCCATTTTTTTTACTATGTTCTCTTCAATCTATGAAACTTTTTCGATCAACATTTGTAATTTTAACCTAAAACAATACATTGAATTACACACAAACTCACAAATCCTATAATTTATCCCAACAAGTACAAAATGTAGTGATCAAATCAACAACTTGAATGCGGCACAATATATTACTGATTTCCAATCACCCATATCAGTAATTAAGATGAAAAACACCTCAAACTCTCAATCAATTGGAATTCCACTAAAAACAAATTCAACCCCACACCCCAGATTTTTTTTTTTTTTAATAATTCAAGATTAAACAACAATAACATTAAACTCCAAATTAAAATTCAAGCAAACAACAATTTGAAGAAATCAGAGTAATATAGATAAGAGAGAAAATACCTAAGAAAACGGGGACATCGCGGTGAAGGAGGTCGAGAAGGAGGGGTTTACGGAGTGAAGGGGTAGCAGCTTTAGAAAGAAGAGATTGCGGAAAATAGAGATTTTCGAAAGCAGATAATCTGTCAGTTATTTTCTCCATTGCTTCTTTCTTCACCTCTCTTCTTCCTTTCTCTTCTTCCATCTTTCTCTCTACTCTGCTTTCTCTACCGTCTCCAATTGCTGTTGAGTTTATTTTGTGTATTTTTTTTTTTTTTGTTTTTGTTTTTTTGTTTTATTCAAGTACGAGTATTCGTTCTTCTCGGCTATTCCATCATTCCATGTCGGTTTGTAAAACCTTAAGTGGAGCGGTAGATGTGTCAATTCGGATGATCGAATCGAATATGATGAGGTCGGGTTGAGTCAAGTCAATTTTTAAAGTCGAGTCTGATAAATTATTATATTTACATAAGTCCAATTCTTAGTTGAATGTTTTTTGGATCGGTTTCGGATCAGGTTGGGTCGAGTGTGATTTGACACCTCTACGGTTAAGCGAGTAATTATAAGTGTCATTGGGTCGTATGCAAATCATGATCAGACAATAAGTTTAAGTCGCGCAATTAGTATAATATTGTGTCAAGGAGTAGCTAATTGTGACATGTATATATCCAATGTGGCAATGTATGATATATCCGATCAGAGATAGGTTGTTTACATTATATAGACTCAACCTCAAAGTGCGTGCCACAAGATTGTGTTGTAAGCATTTAATAACGGAGGAAGTAGAAATTTAGAAATGTTGGAGTAGAAGATAAAGATGTCAATTTTTCTTCGAAGGTTTTCAGTAAATCGTTAATAATGTAATTTTTTGTTACATAACAAGCTCGACCAACTTTACATTAGCCAAAATTGGCAGGCTGATGAACTGGTAAATGTGGTAAGCCAAAATTGTCATCAGCTTAGTTACAACTGACATAAACTGCATTGCTGATATACCATTTGGATGTACGCATCAAGTTGAAAAAAGAAGAGGAAAAAAACCAATCTAAGATGGGCATTTACCTAAGAAAACTATCTAACTTCAGTCTAAAAATGTGTCATATAATCAAATTGACTTCACGAGGTAGCCGTATGTCCTGTATATTTTTGGAGTTTTGAAACTCCGTTCTCCTTGTCATTGCATATCAGACTGCATTTGCTGATACAGTTTTAGATGGTGAGTAATCTCGTCTGGACAGGAGTTTGCAAGTAGGAGCTCCAAACGGTTGAAGGGTGGAGCAAACTGCAATATGTAGTCTTCACCTGTAATGGCAGAGATACACAAGCATAATGTCAGGGTCACAACTATTATCCAAAGACAAGAAAACTAATAATACCCCCTCCCCCAAGGATTAAAAAAAAAAAAATATCACAATATTTAGATTTTGACATCCCCACCATACCAATGTAAGCAATGTTGTTTTCATGAAAAACAATTTAAAAGAATGAAGTTAACAAATACATTTCTTTTTTTGAAGCATTAGAAATAAAACTTTCAAGATTTATAAAGTAATACTATTTGTTGCATATATCCTTTCTATTTGAGACAGAGTAAATCCCGTATTGAATTCGTGCTTTGAAGAGAGAAGGAAGAATGCCTAATTTTAAAATTTGAGCTCATTTACAACTTCCTCACAAGTCACCCCAAGATAAAAGTCTCGTAAGATCTAAAGACAGATAATTCTTCGTAGTCGACATACTGGCATGAAATAAGATACATACCCTCTTTTACAGTTCCATACAGCCAGCACAATACCTCATCAGCAAATGCTAAGCAAACCCCACCCTGTTAAACAACAAAAGACATGAATAGCAATGAAATCAAAACACATACTAGATATAAATTTCCAGGAAAATGCAGAGCAGTTAACAACTTCGAAGGTCAATTGGGACAAAACAAAGGTAATATCTCAATACAGGCTATCGGCATAAAATGTTATTTTAACCTGCCAATAATTCTTCATCTTCACTCTCTGATTTATTTCTTTGGTCCTAATTCTCTCTGTGCGAACAAGTCGGCCGGAGTCATCCCTGCACAAGGAGCATTGAAGTGAATACACTGTGCAGTGCAGGATCCAAAGTTTTCTGAAACCAAAGTCAGATCACCAATTTTACAGAAAAAACTCTGTTAGATCATAACAATATTTTCACTTGTCTACAAAATCTCTGCAATTTATGTATTAAACCCTTTCGGAGACTAAATATGCTTGTTCTCATATTTACACCAGTAAGGAGTTACACCATGAAGTGAAATCTTCTAATTTGTAGGTAAACCAAAGGTAATTCGTCAGTTATTACAACTAGGCAGCTACAAGAAAAAAATAAAAATATGAAACAGGTCTAAGTAATACAAGTGTCTACTCTGAAATTCTGAATTGGTCAGTGCAAGGCCTCCGAGCCTTAAAGGATGCAAAGAACTTTTAAAGACACATAAGACAAATTTGTATAGCAGACTTCACAATAGATATAGCATTATAGCCACATAGGAAGCTTAGTTTTGGCAAGTTATTGTAGACAATCATCACTACACGATCAAAAGTGAATATTCTTAAAGTTTTATCTATACATTTGAAAAATCATGTTCAATCAAAGATGTAAATAAGAATTGCCAAGCATAACAAAAAAAACCCCTAGTCTCTTTACTGCAAAAAGCAGCTGAAAATTTCCAAGGAAATCAGAGCAATCAATTCAACTCACCAAAAGGCATAAAAGAGATGGTTGCAAGAGCCATTTACCTGAAGCCAACAACGATATAGGGAACACCAGCAAGAAATGACTGGATCTGCAATCAGAAGGCAAATTAATATCACACAATGTACTACAAGTAGAAAGGATATAGGCAACAAATAGCTAAAGCTAAGATGAAAGGCTCCACAAACCCAGAATTTAAGTAATTTCTCTCTTTCATATCTTTCCTCTGTTCGATAATCCAACTGCAATCAATGGTCAAGTGATTTCTACATAAGAATATATAAACATAGTGAAAATAAACTACATTTACATCTATAATATTAAATATAAAAACAGCAAACCTCTCGGGATGTCTTCAACTCAACATAAAACTTCCTCCCATCATCAGGGGAGTCATAGCAATCCATTTCAGCACCCATTAATATTCGATGAGCACCAAGTTTTGTTTTGATGACAGCACAATACTCAACGTTGGCATCAATATGATGTATACCCTCTCCATCATCCCTTGTAGGATCTTCAGTTGCAAGGGTCTCAAAGCAATAACCCCAATAGCACCTAAACCAAACGGAACAACCGAAACATAACATAAAACTCAAGAGTAAACAGAAACTTTTTTTTTCCCTGTTATTTTGGTTGACCTATACGAAGCACAATATAGTTTTCTTTCTCTTGATTGACAGATGAGAAGAAACGAAATTCACAATAAACAAGAATCAGAATTATCACAAAGTCATAAAAATTGTCGCCGTTATGCATGAAACAATATCATAATTAGCCTATTTAATACAAGAAACGGCAAGAGCATGCTCATGAGAAGTAGAAGGAACCACTTTAAAATATGTACAATTAGTAGAAATGCTTATACATATTCTTTTTTTGACTTTCTAAAAAATAAGAGAAAACATCTTTTTCCTCATCATCATTCATGTCATTAATGTCCAAGACTGAAGACAGTAACAAGAAATTCTCATCATCCTTATAGCACTGAAGCATCGTTAATGTCCAAGACTAAAGACTCCCACACTCCTAGTAACAAGAAATTATCTAAGGCCTTGAATATCAACAAGGTAGCTTTCACATTGCTGTAACACTAACATTCTATCACAATTGAACAATTAAAATTGCTCTATAGCAGTCACATGTTCACAACTTCACCTCATTTTAATCGCTTCCCGTAACTTCTGGGCATCAATGGGTATCAAAACCCTAAAACATCTTATTTACCAGCAAGTTCTTATATATCAACAACTTGGCAAGAGATGTTATCATGTCAATAACTTCATACCAACTATCAGAGCCGACAAATTAAAATATACTTCATCTGTTTTATTTTACTTGCAACATACCCTTAAAATGCATGCCACAACATGTTGCATATAAATAAACATACTTCCTCTGTTTTTTAAATTGGACCATTTGCATTTTTGTGATGTTGCATGTTAATTGCACCATTTCTAAAATTGACAAGCCTTCATTCACTTTTTGAATGTGTTCACACTAAATACCAATTCTATCCTAGTAAGCATTTGATAATAACCATTGTTACCCCACCTTTTCTCTCTCCCTTCTGTTTGCATCATACTATCACATGGGTAATTTTGGTTCTCTACCTTATATTATTTTTACTACTATTATATTTGAGTCCACACCCAATGGTGCAATTTAAAAAACGGAGAAAGTATTAAAAAAACCAGAGGAAGTAATAGATTAACCACAAGAGCAGCACGAACTCGTACATTCTCTCTCTCTCTCTCATAGCTCGAAATCCACTCACGAGTCACGATCACCACTATATATCAGAATCCAAGATTTCCAGTTAAATATCAATAGAGAATTGAAATTTATCTTAAATACTTAGCATATCATTTCAACCCCCTTCATGATTTGTAAATCTATGAACAGCATCAATAGAAAGCACTTATTTTATAAAATACAAATCAGATAAAACTTAAAAGACGAAAAACAGCAAGAGGGCAAGGTAAGAGGGAAAAAACATTATTTTACATTCTGCGATCCAATTCTGTCTTTGGCCTTTCTGGTAGTTTATGGACATCAAGATAAATAACCCCCTTCCTTTTATGTACTCCCATTTCCCAAGGCTCATTCCTAATATAAGCAGTGGCCAGAATCTGCACAATTGGTGAAAGAAGAGAAACGTTAAGCTTCAAAATGAAACCAAGAATTAATCCAGCTAGACTCTAAGATTAAACATGTGTGAATTATATCCAGTGATCTCCCAAGTCCCAGCTAAAGTTACCCTAGAACAACTTATGCAAAGCACGAACTAAATCATAGTGTAAAATCACGAACTAAATCATAGTGCAAAATAAAGCAGCACATTATCTTACTAATATTGGAGAAATCACATTTTACCTTATTTAGATTGTTCCGATACGTCTGCACAAGACCAACAAAAAATTTCAACAGAATCAGAAAGGCAAATGGTTTATGGAAAATTTTCACTGCCATGGAATCCTTCAGAACAAGATAGTTGTACTTACCACAAAATGCATATTCTCTAGAGGAATTCTTTTATGTCTTATGCAAGCAAGAAGATCACCAAAACCCTGAGAGCCCAAATCTGGTTTAAGAACAGTTGGTTAATTTTAGAGCATGATAAGCATAAACCAGTATTGACTATTGAGACACAATACCCCAATGGCCAACGAAAGCCGTTCCTCCCACATTTCCACTGCTATTCTCATCCCTCACCTGCCTTCCCCCCCCACACACACACACACCTCCAACGCCCCCCCCCCCTCCCCCCCACACACACCTCCAACGCCCCCCCCCCCCACACACACCTCCCAGTCTTTCTCTTAATTATCTATAAATAAATTAAGCATTCTAAAATTTTCTTCAATGCATATCTAGGATACCTTTTTTCTCGATGAATGTATCAAAGCCTTCATTCAGATCTGCTCCAACATCTTCACTGATAAGTCGCTTAAAAAGCCTCTAATAACATACATGCAAACAATAGGACAAGAGTTCACGACCTATGGTGCTAAAAAGGCATAGTAGTTGGAACATAATCACATAATTAATCTAGATGGCTTACCAGGCTGCGATCATCAAAGAAGACCTCACCAGTTTCCAGACGACTATAGCAGGCAAATTCAGAAGGCTATTTAATCAAATTGCCACTAAGCTGTATTAGCAAAGAGTAATTAAAGGCAAATGATCATTCACATGACAATCATCAAGCAATCACCAAAGCCAGAAACTGATAGATAATTAGAAATTAATAGCTATATATCCAATAAATTGCACCACACCCCCAATGAAGAAATAAATACTTGGTTTCCAGATAATAACATACCGAAGACAGCACAATCTTCCCAAAGCCTAAAACTCCAGCTGAAACCTAATAACTAGCAATCTAGATATGGTGTACCAGCCAGCAACATAATCTAAATTCACCAAGCCAAAACACTACAAAACTTATAATTATACAGAAATTCATGCATCTTAAAACAAGCATCAATTTACCTCTTGGAACTGTATAGGTCTTCTTGAAAGTGTTTCCTCACTACTTGTAAACATGAGCTCAGAAACAAAGCGTTCATCTCGTATAGCAGGAGGAAATCTGGGGTTGAACCCATAGTTTTGTCTGGGAGGATATCCAGGACGAGGAAGGATACCAGCACCTCTATCATTTTGCCATCGTCCACGGCCACGACCACGACCACCTCCACCTCCATCTTGGTGATGGTTATTTCGAATCGGAGGCAAAACTGCAGAATACAAAGCCTTCAACAAACCAGGAAGTAAAGTACAGAAATGAAGAGAGAAATGAAAAAGATAATAATCAAACTCCTAACATCAAGCAGTTACAGGAAACTATACTCAAAGCTGTGCAGCAACTTTGAAACCATATAGCCAACACATATAACATGGCAGCAAAGAGGCTTACTTATTATTCACCTCATACTAAACGACATGCTCAGACAAAGTAAACACTCATAAAGAATAAATATAATACACCTTCATTTCCCTGAATTGATATTATTTAATAACAATTACACTACACTAATTCTAATCAATAGTGTTGCAGCTTGAACAATGGGCACAAAGCAAGCTGGAACGAATCACATTCTGCGATACAAGCCCCATTGCAGCTTGATTGTAGATGTCCATAAAAATACAGCCACTATTTGACCTCAATTGCAAATTTTAAATAAAAACAGACACAAATGAATGAATGATGTATATACCCACATCTAAACATTCATAAAACGACAGTGGGCAAGCATCAAAACCTATAATTGAACTAACATCAGCAATACCCACCTACAAAAAACACTATATTTCCTCAATTTGAAACTACATACACAGTTACACAACAAAAGGGAGATTACCCATACATTAAAGCTCACTACACTATAAACTGCAAGCATTAAAACCTCAAATTTAAACAAAAAACACCAACACTCACCAGCAAAAAAACCAACAATTTTCTCCAAATTGAAACCACAAACAAACAAAAGAGAGATTACCCACATAAAAAAACCTCACTAACTATAATAAGCAAGCATTAAAACCTAAATTTGAACCAAAATTAGCAACTCCCACCAACAAAAAAACCTTAAATTAATTCAGAATTGAAGAAAAACTCAAAATACCAGGAACAGGGTGAGGGCTTTTAGCTAAAGTTTTGCAATAATCTTCATTATCAGGCCCAAAAAGATCTCGTTCATCATCTAATTCATCATCATCATCATCAGGTTCATCCCCAAATATATCCCTAGCAATAATCCTACTATTGGACACTACTTCTTCTACACCACCATTTTCTCTCTCCTCACTCGCTGCGCTACTACTCCCGCTGCCGCTACCACTACCACTGGAAGAAGATCTTGATCTTGAAGACGATGAAGAAGATGAATTTGACGGCGAAGATGAGCGAGACGAGTCGGAAGATGATGAAGGACGAACACCCCCACCCCCGCCATCGCCGCCATATTCCTGTTGCTTTGGTTGTTCTTCTTCATTGTCTTGGGCGTAATCTTCTTCATCATCATCATCCCCAAATAAGTCTAAGTCAGGTGGAAATTCCATTGAAAGGTGAATTTGAAGGTTCGTAAATCTGGGTTTTTTTTTTCTGAGTTTTTGTGTGAGAGATTTTTGGGTTTGAAAAAAGGGATTTTGTTTGAAATTGTCTAATGGGATTGCAAAAGGGCAGATGTTATTTGAGCCCTAAATTTCTAAAGTGAAGAAACAACATTCCTAATTTGTTAAAGAATAAGGGCAGATTATATTTGAGCCCTAGATTTCTTAATTGAAGAACAACATTCCTAATTTTTTTTTTTTTTTACGGGAACATTCCTAATTTGACAATCTAATATATATATATATAAAGGGGAGTTTTTTCCCGAGTTTGTAGAGAGCCACATAAGATCTAATTTTCTTAGTGTGTCATGTAAGATTATAAATTTTAGTAGTAACCAATTAAATAGGAGATTATTAAAATCTTTTATAATTAAATAATTCAAATGCCACGTAAGCAAAATTGGCGAATGAGATTTTCCAATTTAAATTAATTAAATATAAAATATTATCTTTTGATATTAGGAATTTTATCTAAATATATAACAAATTTTAACACATATATATATGTATTAAAAAATTATTTTTAAAAATTCAAACAAACCGTGCATCGCACGGGCTTCATCTAGTATTGATATATAGCACACATGTTTATCTCAACCTTCTGTTAATAAAATTGTTAATTTGTACTGTATTAGGGCTGTTCATCGGTCCAAGAACGCTTTGGACCGAAGGCCGGACCGAAAGAACCAGACCGTTTTGGACCGAATTAAGAATTTTTTTTAAAAAATACTAAATTTTTAATTAAATTATGGAAAACATGAAAAAAAATAAAAGAAAAATTATATTTTAACGTTATTTTTACGTCTTTTTATTTTTGTATGTTTAGTAAAAAAAAAACTTAAAAAGTTAATGTTTTCTAAGCTTATTGAGGATAATTTTAACCATTATTTAAGGTTTCACGCATATTTTTAATTAAAAATCGGTTCATTTCAAGACCGATTTTTATAGGGTTTTGGACCGGACAGGACTGAAGACATGAAAAATGAATTTTAAGACCCGAAAATCAGACCGATTAATTCGGTCCAGGGTAGTCCAGTCCTTTTTTTCAGTCCGGACCGATTTATGAACACTCCTAACTGTATATAACTAATTATGGATTAATCCATTATAAGTAAGTTAATTTAATTTCGGTGCTATTTTAAAACCTCTTGTTTTTTAAAAAAAATGCGTTGAATTTAATGATTGGTTAGATTTTTATAGATCAAACTATTTGAATTGAGATAGTTAATTCTTTTCAAGCTAATATACAATAGAAATTTGGTAGTAATTGTTACACCTGAAAAACGTAATTAAGAACTTGTTTAATCTAATGGTATGCTAAGCAATCATTCTCACAATAGATTACTAAATAAATTTTACAAGTAAAAGATAATCTAAAATGTGCACTAAAAGATGCTCATAAATTTTTTTAGCTCAAAAGTTGTGCTCATTAATATCCCAGAGTTCTCACTGTGCTAAGCTTTCCACTTAGCTTAACGATCTTAATTGCATTATAAAAATATTTTGGTAACGAAAAGATAGCAACATTCATTAAGCTACTCCTAGCAGCCATCTAAAAACACCATCCAAAGTATTAAAAGAAAATAGTACATACATTATTACCAGAAGACAATTAAACAACACATCAAGCTACTCTTATCGACCATCTAAAAACATCTCCTTGCATAATCCCCTCAAATGTTGTTCATGCTTAGCAGTTAGTAGTAACCAGCTATCCAATCATCGACGGAATGAGGCTCATCAGACTCAATGTTAAACTTGAAACCATAAGTTGCGAGCTCCCTTAGATGACGGTTGTAAGATACGTAACACTTTTGGACTAACCATAGATATGATGGATCGGTTTCGCTTGTTGACAACAACCTCCCTACATCTTCTCTTCCGAATTTATGGGGTGGAGGAGCACCATTACATGCTACCCCTAACACTATTATTGCAAAATGTTGCAACTCTTTATATCGTTCCCCATACCGCTTCCACCAATCAACTGCATCAATTTAAACCACATCATGTAATGCATGTCATCGCTGTGTAACATCTTTTAATATATAAATAATATAATGATATAATGAACCCTTTAAATATAATGAACCCTTTAAATATACATAATTAATACCTTCAATCGATATTAATTATGTCACGTTAAGACTGAAATTTGAACACTTAATGTGATCAAACAAAGATTGTATAAAGAATATACTACTTCCGGATCTTATTCCTTTGTTGCAAGTAATAAGAACCGGAGGTAGTATATACAGGAAGTAGTGCATACCTGGAGAGACATTGTGTCTTTCACGCAAACCAATTTTGAAATCTCCACGGGCAAATTCATATAGATGCAGCTGTTTCATAATAGTTTCTTGGGTTTGTGCATCATCCACAATTTTGTGTATAGTGTCCCTAATCCCACCCTCTACTTCTTCATCATCAACAACAAAATTATTACTGTAATAAAGCTTTGGATTTAGAAAGTGACCTGCAGCATGAAGTGGGGAGTGCAACATATTGTTCCAAATCTCGTCTATTATATCCCAAAAAGGCATATACATGTTAGATTTCTTAATATCACCCCTAATTTTTTCCTTCATTTCATCCATTCTTTCATAGATATTACCCATTTGAGGGTTATCAATATCAATGTTTCCATCATTGATTAAGCAAAGCAGGTTAACTATAGGCTTGCTTCCTTTGACAGCAAGACCGACTCGAGTCCAGAATGTTCTGTCCCTCAGCACTAGCTCCTCGACTCTCATACCTCCCAATGATGATCCAAAGCATGAGTTTTTCCATTCTTGTGATGTTAGCATTTTCTCAAGATGTTTTCTCCAAACCAGCATATTCTCAAGTGTCAGAAAGGGTGTAGCTTCCTTAATTTTACTCGACTTCACAAGGTTCGAGTTTTGATCAAGTTCTCCATTACTAGCCTGCCTTAAGAGGTCCAATATACAAGGATCACTGTAAATAAGCCTTGTAACCATCTTGGCTTGCTCGATGGTTTGCCTCACCCAGGCTATCGCCGAGGCTACCCTCTCTAGCATCAGAGTCACGCAATATGTGGCGCTGATGGACCAGAACATCCAAGGGTATTTCTCCTGAAGTCTTTCTCCAACCGTGTCTAGCCATGGTGACGCAGTGTAGGATATAACTTGGAGCACATACTCCGGCCTCAAACCAAGTTCTGATTCTGAAAAAATACTATCAATAACTGACAGCATCGCCTCAGCATCATTAACAGCAAAACTCACATCAATTGATTTCAGATAAACCACCCCAAGTGGAGAATCGACGATTACATTTAGATAGGTTCGCCCTGTCATCTCCTCAGTCCACACATCTAGGACTAAACTACATCTTACAATATACCAGTAGTAACTTGTACTTTGCACCCATTCTCGTAACGAGGAGTACTCTTCAAACAGGATATCAACCTCGTCTCTGACAGTAGCTACATCAGACTGATGCAGAGGTCCTCTGCCACCATCATTAACCAACTCTTGAAAACTTTCTGTTACAACATTACGATTAAGGTTGTCTTCAAAGAGTTGTAGTGTGCGTTGACATTCAGGCGGTGCCATACTGCAGGAGCTGATACTAGAATTAACAGCAGGAAATGGTCTTTCAATCTGCTGCTGCTGCAGTATAAATGATAAGAAAGATTTGATCAAAGATTCTGAATCATCCTGGCACAGAACACCACTTACATCAGGATTTTGCTGCTGTTTTGCCTGTTTGTAGTTGTCGTCGTTGATATCCAGCATTTTCCCTTTGCCTTTTTCACTAGGTGAATAAGCTCTCTTCCGAGAAGGCTCATCCGACGTCTGTTTGGCTTCGCCATGATCATCCCTACAGTCCATATTTAGTTGTTTTGGTACCTAAGGCAATACATAACAATTAGTTAAAGAGTGTGTGTACTGAAAGTTCATAGAAGAAAGCAGCAACTTATAAGAGCTAACTTATAGTATGCAAGTAAAGAGCCCAACTCATGTCAAAAAGACAACATACAGATTGTCAGATTGTAAATTGGATATAACAGCAGCTTTTAGAACCTTTTTAGAATAATGAATGTTAGTAATTTATATGCATATTTTATTAAATCGGGAAATATTAACACAGGGTAATAATGATATTAACCTTTTATGAAATTATGATGTGTATTGTGTAATAATGATATCTATGATACAATACTTGTTTTCAAGTAGTGTAAGAAAATAGATAAATTTTGTACTACAAACATGTTTGACTTGTTATAACTTGCTTGTATCTATAATAGACAGACTTTTTTGTTAGAAAAGAATGCTAGGCATAACAAACCCAACCACCAACCTTCGATTAAAACATGTTTGCTCAATGGTGGCTCTTAAACTAAAAGATATAGAGAGTTAATTTTTGAACTTTAATAACTTGTAATAGATATCTAATTACTAACAAATAATATAATCGGAACGATTTTTGAACTTTAATAACTTGTAATAGATATATAACTGATAACAAATAACATAATCGGAACAAAGTTAAGTTTAAAGCAATGAAATCAATCAAACCCACTTAACTCTTGTAAAAGCTTGTTACATACAATTAAAATATGATAGTTAAATAATTAAACACCATAAGGAAATAATATGCGAGTTTGATCTACAGATTAAATTTACACAAACTTATATGAGTCAATAGATACAAACAACATATTATTATACATGTACAATATATGTACAAAAATAATATAATTAAAAAATACGTAGCATTTTGAATTAGTAGTTGATAAATTGTGATTTATAAAAAAAATTGTAATGTATGATTCGAGCATTAAAATTTAAGGTCTCGATAAAAATAAATTTAAATATGAACTTTATTTAATTATATATGTAGTAAAAATATCTATGTTAAATTAAATTTTAATTTTAATTTATTTGAACTTGCTTGAAAAAGTTATTGGATCTACCATTTGACATAATACGCTTCTAATAGCTCTTACAAAACTTATAGTGGTCAGACCCCTATGAGCCTCAATGAAGATCATCTCCCAGTCGTGCTCCTACCACTAGTAACGTAGCTTCAACATATTAATACACGTTAAATTTTAACGATCTAAAATTTACGAAATCCGATTAGATTTTTTCAGATACTGAATTCGCGACGACTAAATGTTAGGTTTTTCACATTAAAAAAATATAACATAAAAAATTTCATATGAAATTCGACAGATCTACTTGTCCGTCGGAAGCTGTCCATAAAAATTAGCGGGTTTTTTTTTTTGGGTAGTAAAGCTGAATATGGTTTGGTCAGACTCTTTTTTGATTTTAAACAAGATCATAAATCAGTGAAAAAAAAATTCAAATGAAAACCAAATAGATGGTCTTTGATCTGATCCGGAGTCCGGATTGATCTGATTAGATCTAAAACTTTATCCAGGACTTATCTTTACACGATTCTTACTCAAACTAACTTGATCAAAAATTTCATATATTTGAAAATTTTTCTTATGTTTTCACTTCAATGAAAGCCAATTCATAAAAAAAATACTTTTATATGAGAAAATCAATTGATAAGAAGGAAAAAAAATATCATTAACCTGAATGTGTAGTGTCTTAAAATTTCATTGGGTTTTAGGTAGGGTTGGGAATCCCTGGTTCGATGTGATAACACGACCCGAACTCGGCCCGAAGTTACTGAGCGAAACTTGAACCCGACCCGAATCAAACCCGAATTTCGACTCGATTTGATCCAAATTTCATATTTCGTAATAATATTAAGTTTTAAACTATTTCTGATAGTTTCTCATCATAACCCGAATTCTGACCTGAACTCGACCTGTTGTCTCGAATTGCCACCCCTAGTTTTGTTTTAACGTTTTTTCAAAAAAAAATTGAAAATATATTAAAATCGAGTATTTCAAAACAAAAGTTCTCAAATCCAATACGATACATCTATTTATAATAATAATTAAAAAAAAATACGAATTGGATATCCTAAAATCCGCATCGGATCCACATAATCACGAATCGGATCGAATTTCTTTGAAAATTAAATAAGCCAACCAAAAGAAAATGAGAAATAGTTTTCATGACTCCTTGGTAAGTGAGAAATCAGATCCAATTGACCTTTAAGGGGTACAAAAGATTCTATCGAATACACAATCAAACATAAATTACGGTAACATTTTAAATACTACATTTCTCACATCTCAAATTAAAGATGATAGATTAAAGGATTTAAAGCACATATATAGAGAGAGGAGAACAGAAAAAAATTAAAGAGCCAAAAGTAAATTTTTTTTTTTTTACCTTTACTTCAACAACAAAGTTGTATTGAGAACTTGTCTTGAAAGAGAGCAAAAACCCTAAAATAGTTAATAGAGAAAATAAGGACTTGAGAGCAATGGTAGCGGAAATGAAAAAAAAAAATATTAAGATGTGACTTACAGGAAAAAGAAGAAATAATGTGCTTTTAATGTGACAAGAATAATAGAAATATGGTCAAAAGAGAAATTTTTCTCAAATAATGTAACAGACAGCAATAATTATATAGCAAATTTTTCTTTTATGCTAAATATCTTATCGGCGATGGTAATAAAATATCTTTGAATGGAGGCGAATCATCAACAAAATCAAGCAATTATAGTAGAGTAAGCAAATATTTATCTGCGTATCTTTTTACTTACCACCCTTTGGTTCTATCCATATCCAAAATTATAAAGCGGAGTCACACTTGTTTGGTTCTGCCGTAATCTAATTAGACCGTGGAACTAAACCCTAAGCCTTTGATCCATGTATAATTCAAAGGATTATTCAAAGTATAGTTAATCTAAAGGCTATACCTTTTAACTGTGCTTGTTAGCTTAGTACGATTATTGGATCCAAGAATCGCATGTGTAATCTCATTATCAGATCAATCAAAATTCCACTCGCATGATTAAATGTGCCTAGAGTGTGCTAGCTTAGTACATCGAACAATTTTCTCTAACTAAAATTTAGCGTTTAGATTTGTGTTCTTGCTTTAATGAAGGATTGAATATTAATTTTAAATGTTGTGTGTCAATTTAATTCACAAGGGTTGTTTTATAATAAAGTACACCTACATTTAAACCTAGTAGTACTAGAAAAGTTGTCCATGTAGGACAACTTACCTCACGCATTTAAATCGAGGGATCCATGTAGGGGGCATGTTCCCAATAACCTGTGAGGTTGGGAAGCCTTGAGTTTTGCAGCCCCATGCGCTCACACTTGTTGTTGGGCCTAGTGCCACATGTAGGCGCGTTTGCATTGCCTTGTTGTACCTTGGCTAAGCTGGCCTCTAAGGGCCTGTTCTCATTGACTAAACTCAGCTGAACTGAACCGAATATTTTATAAGAGAAGGAAATTAGGAGCTGAACTGAACTGAACTGAACTAAACTGAGTTGAACTGAACTGAATTTCAACGTAAGAGAACAGGCCCTAAGGCCTTGCATTAGCGCAACATCGCATGCATTCCTCGCCCCGTCCTATGGTCATTCATCAACTAGCATTGACGATGCGTGTTGGACTTCACGTGGCTAATCCCAACGCCCAACATTATGATCTAACTAAACTTTACGTTAAAATCTAACTAAACTTTACGTTATGATCTAACTAAACTCCACTTAATCGACGTCTTTGGGCCTTTTGCTCAATTTGTGTATTGATTTGATTTCGCGCTTTGGGTTTGACTTGATAGGCACATTCAAGAATAAGTTGTGACTACTATGAGACTAATTAAATATTACTCTCTTTTTTACAAAAAAATTACTCTTATGGATTGGAAGCGATCTTCAGCTAGACATTCTGATCACTTAATGTTACTAAGGACATGTTCTCATTGACTGAAATTAGGGGTGTCCGTTCGGTTTTCGGTTTGGATTTAGTCCAAATCCGATCCAATCCGAAATATAATTCGGTTTTCAATTTTCCAATCCGATCCGATCCGAATTTCTCTCTTGATCCAATTCGATCCAATCTGAATTAAAATCGGTTATTTGGATCCAATCCGAAAATCCAAATTATAATACATTATCTTTTAGCGCCTAATACAATTATAAAAATAAAGCTTTACTATAAATAAAAGTCTTCAAAATCATGATTAAAATACATAGTTCAACGTCAAGTCATTAATTAATACAAAGTCTCTCTAATTTATTTTATGTAGTATTAAGTATTTGAGCTAAACTTCAAAATATACAGAAATCCATATTTATACAAGCTTAATTTTACAATTCGGTTTTCGGTTTGGATTGGATCCAATTAGGGTCAATCCGATCCAATCCGAAAATCCGAATTTCCAAAAAATCTCAATCCGATCCGATCCGATTTAAAGTTCGGATCCGATCCGAATTGATAATTCGGTTTGGATTGGATTGGATTTCGGTTTTTATCCGAATTATGGACACCCCTAACTGAAATGAGCTAAACTGAATAAAATATTTTATAAGAGAAGGAAATTAGGAGCTAAACTGAACTTATTAGAGCTAAATTGAACTGAACAGAAAATAATCGTATGAGAATAGACCCTAAATAATAAACTTCATAATTATCGAAATTAGGGATAACAGTGGATCGGATCATGGACCCAACTCGAAATAGTGGATCCAAATATGTTTTCATGAATATAGGTTTTCAAATTTTGGCCCCAACGAATTCATGTCGAAAAAAGAGAAAACAAATTTTGGTACCCAAATCCTTTTACTCGTTTCTTTATTTTTTATTTTTTTATCCTCCATTTTTTAAGTTTATACCATTTGACTTTTACACTAATTATGATAAAACATGATCAAGTAGGATTCTGTTTGAATTGAATTGTCTCAATGTATATTTTATTAATATCCACTTTTGATAATTTTACAATG